CACCTGCACTCCTCGCCTTCAAGCAGCTTGCGGTAGGTGGCGATCTCCACGTCGAGGGCCAGCTTGACGTTCATCAGCTCCTGGTACTCCTTCAGCAGGCGGGCCATGTCCTGCTTGGCCTTCTGCAGGGCATCCTCCAGCCCTTCCAGCTTATTCCTGGCATCCTTGATGGCCATCTCTCCACGCTGCTCAGCATCAGCAATGGCTGACTGCAGGTTGGCGCACTGGATGGGGAAAGCAGCTAGAATGGACTCTGGTTCTCCAGAGAAAATCTAAACCTGATTCTTGCCAAGAAATGAAGGGACCTACCACCTAGAACTGATAATGAATAAACTTCCTGTTCTATATTTTTCAATTCTCCAATCCTGTAAAGTCTAGGAAACACTTGGGAAAAAACAAACAAACACAACCCAAAACAACAAATCCTGTGCCTTTAGTGTTGATCACCTGCATGAGAACGTGGTTGGTTATTGATGGGAGATGCTATAGTGGACACAACACAAACCCCTAGGTTCTTTTTGAGTGCTGTCTCCAAAGCTGCAATGTGTATGCTACAGTAAGCTGTCCAAATTATGACCATTTTTATGCAAGATGATGAATTTTCAAATGAGACTGTTGGGACTTGTCTTCCTTCCCCCTTACGGTCTCTCACATACTTGAGCAGCACTGTTCTTTGTCATCCGTCCTCAATCCACTGTTTTCCTCTAGAATCTCCAGCTGATTTCTAACAATGTTCCTCATGCTTTCTGGCCTCCCTTTTCATTCTGGACTTGTTCCTTTGCAGTTTCTAAGTCAATCCATTTTCTTATGTAACTAATGCCTCTGGTCTGTACTATTCTAGACCATGATTGGTTACGATTCTGTGCCTCTGCTTGTACCATGCTCTTTGGGAGCTGGTACACGGGGGGTAGGTGGGGAATCCATGTCACCTAACAAGTGCATTACGAGGACAGAAACTTCATGTCCTTCTCTTCCTGGTTTCTATACTTCCTAAGAACTGCCCCGCATGATGGTGGATGACTTCCTGCTGGACTGGCAAGGAAATGATGCTTTTCTTCACCTTTGCTCACCACCGTACCTGCTTCTTGACGTGGTCGATCTCAGACCTCAGCCTCTGGATCATGCGGTTGATCTCAGCAATCTCCTGCTTGGTGTTACGCAGGTCGTCCCCATGTCTGCCTGCCGTGACCTGCAGCTCTTCATACTGCAGGTGAGTGGAGAGAGGCAGTGTACATGGTTTTCAAACGTGAAAGTAAACCTGACCAAATAGCTACTCCTCAAACGTTTTCAGGGAAAGTTGATGTTACAAAGTTGATAGATATTGTGAAATCAAGTCATAGACAGTAAATGTTATGTGACAACTGATTGTCCACTTCTTTATAGGAATGAATGGCGATGTTCTGCACTGTGTTATTGAGAACCAGCATTCATCGTATGGCTTAAAGAAAAGTTCAGAAAGTCCTTATATATGGTGACTTGAATCCCACATTTGGGTTCTTTTGCTTCCTACAGTTGAGTATAAATTCTGCAAATGTCTATGCTAACAGAGTACATGTGCTATGAGAGGCCCTGGGATTCCTCAGAGTAGCTGCCTAAGACTGTAGCCTTCAGGTATGCAGGGTGAAACACAGCAGACCCTCGGCCACTCACTGCTCACCTTGCTCTGGTACCAGGACTCAGCCTCAGCCCGGCTCCTCTGAGCAATCTCCTCATATTGGGCTTTGACTTCGGCGATGATGCTGTCCAGGTCGAGGTTACGGTTGTTGTCCATGGAGAGGACGACGGAAGTGTCTGAGATGTGGGTTTGCATCTGAGACAGTTCCTGCGGAATGAAGATCATAAGACCTTCTTAGCCTGTGACGTCATCAGAAGTGTCCAACACCAAGAATATTCCACCCCCTGCAGAACCCCATCCGAGCGAAGAGAAGCGAGTGGAGATGCTTACTGCGTCATAGATGGTTCTCAGGAAATTGATCTCATCTGTGAGAGAATCTGCCTTGGCTTGCAGTTCAACCTTGTTCATGTAGGCAGCATCCACATCCTGGGGAGGGGCAACAAGGGGCAGCTCGGCCCTCCTTCCAGCCTCCCCGCTGGAGTCTCCGGACCAGTTCTCCTCTAGGCTGGGGGGAGGGCTTTGTCTCCTTTCCCCAGAAACAGGGTCCCTGACCTAATCAGCTTACCTTCTTCAGAGTCACAAATTCATTCTCTGCTGCTGTGCGCTTGTTGATTTCATCTTCATATCTACAGGAAGAAAAAGATAAGACACAATCGAGCCAGGCATTGACTGGATGCAAAAAGAGCTCCCCTAGGATCCGACACTTTCCACGAAGGGAGATTTATCCAGATTGACCTGTCCTACCATGTACAGACAAATGGATGATTTTCATGGCTCCTAAAATTTGAGTTTCTTTACTCTGTCCCCAGCCAACTTTAACCACCTATAATTATGAGATTAGGTCTTAGACTGTCCTTTTGATTTTCATTTCCATGGATCTGTTTTGCGAAGGAGTCTAGTCTGCATTTGGACACATGCCCTGGGTGTGTGCCCCCCCCACCCCCACATCCCTTGGAGTATGCCCTGAGCCCATTCCTCTTCTGTAACTCACTTGTTCTTGAAGTCCTCCACCACATCCTGCATGTTTCTGAGCTCCGAGTCCAGGCGGCCTCTCTCCCCCAAGATGCTGTCCAGCTGCCTCCTGAGGTTGCTGATGTACTGCTCAAACAAAGGCTCGAGGTTCTGCCTCACGGTCTTGGTGCCCTGCTCCTGGAGCAGGGTCCACTTGGTTTCCAGGACCTTGTTCTGCTGTTCCAGGAACCGTACCTGGAGAGGAGATGAGATGGGTCATTTGTCAGAGAGTGGCAGATGGGGACAAGTGCCAGTGTCCCCACATTTTCTAGCAGGTTTGATGCTCCATGGTGCTGGGCTTGATAGAGCATGTGCAGAAACTTGGTGTGGGATTTCTGCTTTCCTAACATTTTTCATTCAAACTTCATGTCCTTCTCTGGTGACAGTCCCTGTGCACACCTGAGCTGTTTCTCCCATAAGGTGTGGTCTCTGTCACTTAGTTTTCATCTCTTCCTCCCTTTCTCTTGACAAGCAGAATCACAAGTCTAGTTTTAAAGTAGTATTTGTGTGATGTATTATGCTAAGTATTTATTTTTTGTAGAAGCTTAGTAAAAGGGATGTTAAAACATATTGAACTAATATAGAATTCTTTTTATTTGAACTAATATAATTTAACTTCCCGCTTGTGCTTTTGTCTCTTCTAAATCATTCTTGCTAAATGGCCCTACTTGGTTTCTACAGAAATTCTTTTTTATGGCTTTAATAAATGTTTGCACAGTTCATTTTTCTCATCTAGACAGAAAATAATTTTTCCCCCCACTTTTGTCTTCCTCCTTCCAGCGTACAGAGATATTAATCTCCCCACATCAACATACAAAAATTCTTTTTTATGTGTTAAATAAATGTTTGCACAGTTCATTTTTCTTATCTAGACAGAAAATAATTTCCTTTTTCATTCCCCACTTTTGTCTTCCTCCCTCCAGCAGCTGAGCAGGTTGAGACTAGATTTTGATTTGTACGTCTGTACACTTTTAAGTGGTAAACGTTAACCCATTCCATTCTTTCATTGCTTCATCTGTGCTTCTGGTAATCAAATGTGGAGAGTCCTTCCCAGGCAGTAATGAGGGATCTAAGAGCCTCGGCAGTTCTAACCCATTTCCATCGCTGCTGCCCACTGTGGACAAGGAGCCAGTCTAGCATCCCTGTGGCAAGCTGGTCTCACCCCTCTCCCTTTCCTATGGCAAGCTGGTCTCATCCCTCTCCCTTCCTGGTAGGAAGTTTGTGGTTTCTCTGGTGTGGGGCTCCCCTGTGGAGGGCAGGGCTCATGTCTCACCTTGTCAATGAAGGAGGCGAACTTGTTGTTGAGGGTCTTGATCTGCTCTCTCTCCTCGGTCCTCACCCGCTGGATGGTGGGGTCGATTTGCAGGTTCAGAGGAGTGAGCAGGTTCTGGTTGATGGTGACCTCTTGGATGCCTCCAGGGGGACACACAGGGAAGCCAGCTCCACCATAGCCACCACCAAAGCCAGCTCCACCACCGAGCACAACGCCCCCCTCCGATGGAGATCCTCTTGGAGGCCCCCAGCCCATAGAGGCTCCGGCTGCCAAAGCCAGCTCCTCCGCACACTCCACCAAGGCCACCACTGCCCCTGGAGCGGGACATGGAGACGCTGCTGAAGCCAGAGCGGTGGGCCCCGGGGACCCTGGCTGAGCTGGCACTGTAGCCCCGGCTGCTGCTGTGGGTCCTGATGGTGGATTTGCTAGTCATGCTTGCTGAGATGAGCAGGCTGGAGGAAGCTGAGAGGCTGGAGGGCAGAACCGAGAGGAGCAGAGGTGTGAGATGGGCTCCCTCGCAGTGTGCAGCTTATATATGGGAAAAAAGGGCTGGGCTTGGTCCTGGGAGGTGAGCTTGCAGACTGGGAAGGGCAGGGCTTTACGAATAGTGAGCTCACACCTGGATTATTAGAAAAGTTATGAAATATCAAGATTGCAGTTTTGGCTTCCTTTAGTCAGGGAAAATGTTCCTGCCTCCAGGTTTGACTTGATTCAGGACAATAGACAATTCTTAATCAGTGAAGGTAGAGTTAGTCATTGCCTTAAACAAAAGTTTTGCCTATTGTTCTGCTCTGTATCAGAGTGTAATAGTGATCTTGCCTCCCAAACATGGTCGTTTTTCCAGGACACGTAGTGGGGAGCAGAAGTCATCTATTGTATATGCTCCAACAGAAAGATTATCATTTTCCCTTCAACAATTACAAATGCTATCTTTTACTTCTTTTCCCTGTATGTAAACTTTCAAATATGTGGAAAACTAGAATAAAGAGCTAAATACCTCTTTATACTTATTACCTATTTTCAAGCTATTTTCTGATGACCAGTTTTATTTTTTCCACCCTTTTCTTTTATTCCCTAGCCCAACATTACAGACAAGCAAATCCCAGAAATCATATTTCTTCAGTAAGTAATTCAATATTCACGTCTGCAAAGAACAATTTTATGTTTTGTTTGAATTTGCCAGAGAGCTTGTGCTTTAGCCAGGGAGAGAGAGAGGGAAGGAGAGAGCGATGGTTAAGCAGTCCCCATGGGGCGTGGTCATGCTGCAGTTCTCCATTTCTCTCCCCTTTCAGGATTGTGGGCACACACACTCATACCTGATGTGTTTCTCAAGCTCCTGGGTCTGTGACCCAATCCACTCACTAGGCCATGTGCAATCCATCCACCTTAACCATCTGTCATAAATTGCCTCCTGAAAATTGGCTCTTTAATCAAAAATCATTTTTATATCTAAGCATTTATTCAGATGTGTTTATTTACATCAGGAAGTATCTACTTAGTTTTCCAAGGTCCTCATTTGTGTTATTTATCATTTTAGTTTTTCATGGATCATATCAGGATCCAGGAAAGCTCTAACATGTTCTATCTAAAACAGCATGACTTTTAAATCATTAAATCTCCAATATCTTTTCTTGTAATTTCTTGAAAAACAAACAAAACTGAAGAAAAACCCAAACATGTTCATTGCCCTGTGTATTGTTTATGTCTTTGGATTTTTCTTTATTTATTTATTATGAAATGAATTTAAATCTAGTTTGTTTGCACAGTTTTACTTAACCAGTTCTCATTTTCCCCCTTTTCTCACCATTATATAAAATTCATCATGTGTCCCATTATGAAAAGTGTTCAGCCATGAATAAAAAGTGAATATTGCTCGTTTAAATGATCAAAATAAAGTTGGATTCTTTCTTTGGATTCTTCTAATCATGTACTCACCATGTTTTATTTATCTACTGTGTTGTTTGCATTTCCTGTATACTGGTGGTTAAACTTTAATCTTGATATAGTTCTCTTATATATTTAAACATTCTAGATGTGGATATATTAGCATACCTACTTCAAATTGAACGTTGTTACTAACATATGTACTTATCTATTTGCAAATGAAATGAGTAATACATGTTTAAGATAAAGGATACATGCTCAAGTCATTTCCCAGCAGCCCAATTTCTGTATATGAAGGCAAGCAGTGTTACTGGTTTCTTGTGTATCCTTCTAGGGTCCTTCTGTCCTTTTCATGGGGGATATGTGAGATGAGAGACAAAAAGAAAAGAGGCAGTTTTATATAGAGAGGGCAAACCACCTTTGCTCAAAGGTATCCTTTAGAGATAAATTGTACACACATACACATGCACATACACACGGTGTAGATGTGACTGTGTTTTATATAGATAAAATTTGCATACATGTATAAAATCTGTATTTTGAAATGTATAGCACACATACACTCTCTTTTCTAATTATGGATGTATTGTATCTACTTTGTCTCCCATACTTGTATTTTCTCTTGATACTCTTTTAACACTCTACGTTTCCTATTTTGTAACTGTTTACTTTTCTCCATGTTTTTTCTGTATGACCTTTATTATGTCATTTCTTATCTTTTCTCTTAGTGCTGTTTTCAATTTAGCTTTCATTTCTATAGTAGCTTTATTATTTTTCTGCTCAATTCTGTTCTACAAGATAATGTTTTATCTTTTATTCACTCACTATCATGTCCCATTATTTTCTTATTTCATTATTTTCTTATTCTTAAATTTCATTGAAAATTTTTTTTTTTTTTTTTTCTCCTCCATTCTCCTCTCGGGATCTTGGGCACGTACGCACACGCGCCCGGCGTGAGTTTTAAGCCACCGGGTCCGGGACGTGAACCGCGGTCGACTACGTGGGAGTCCAGCGACATAGCCATTACGCTAACTGCTGGTTCCCAAATTTCATTGAAATTTTTACAGATATTTTAATGTGCCTTCTTCCTATTGAGAGTTCTTTAAGTGTTCTTTGTTTTTCCTATTCTGTCCTTTCTTTCTTTCTTTTTTTTGAAAGCATAGATCTTTATTTTATTATCATTTATACATTCAATCACTTTATATCATTTATATTGTAAAGAGACTTTACCCAGCATGATATACACCTCAGATCAGCCCAGTTGAGAACATGACACACGTCATCATCAACATCAACAGGTAATAAACCATATCTGTGTCCCACAAATGTCTTACTTCTCTATTTTTTCCCCAAATTTCCTTTCTTACATGCATTTCCTCTCCCACACTCCTCCCACATTGTCCATAGTGTCCATAACAGTTTTCAATGCTTCTATGTCCTCCAGTAATTCAGTCTCTAGTGTAGAGTGTGGACTGTCAGTATGCGTTAAGTGGAGACACACAATGTCTCTCTTTCATAGCCTGACTTGGTTCACTCAGCAACAAATCTTCCATATTTGTACACTTTCTATCAAATGCCAGTGTCTTCTTGTTTTCTATTTGTTTTGTTTTGTTTTTGTTTTTGTTTTAATTTCTTTTTATGACTGAATAGTATTTCATGGAGTATATGTGCTACACAATCAATCCATTCATCTGTTTGTGGACATTTGGGTTGGTTCCATGTCTTAGCAATCATGAATAATACCACAATAAATATAGATGTGCAAGCACTTTTCTGACTGAGCATTCTCCTGTCCTTCGGTAGATACCCAGGAGTGGAATTGCTGGATCATATGGTAGTTCTGTTTGAAGGTGCCTCTATATTGTTTTCCACAGTGGCTGGACCAATTTACATTCCCACCAACAATGTAGGAGTGTCCCCCTTTCACCGCATCTCCACCAGAACTTTTTTTTTTTTTTTCAAATCTTACTCATTCTGACTGGGGTTAGGTGATATCTCATTGTAGTTTTAATCTGTATCCCCCTTATGATGAGGGATGTTGAGTATTTTTTATATGCCTTTTGGCTGTTCATATGTCTTTCTTAAACAGTTATTTACTCAGCTTATTTTACCTTCTTTTAATTGGGTTAATCATTTTCTTCTGGGTAAGCTCTTTGAGTTCCCTGTGTATTCTGGTTATCAGTCCCTTATCTGAGGGATATTTTGCAAAAATTTTCTCCCATTACAAGAGTTGTCAATTCATGCTAAGTACTATGTTCTTTGCTGTGCAGAAACTTCTTAATCTACTGTAATCTCACTTTTCTAATTTGCGGATTATTGCCTACCCCAATGTCTCCCAGAGTTTCCCCAGTGTTGTCCACCAGTAGTTTTATAGTTTGAGGTCTTAGGTGTAGATCTTCGACCACTTTGAGTTGATTTATGTTAATGATGACAGATAGGGGTTCAGAGTCATCTCTCTGCAAGTGGATAGCCAGTTTTCCCATCACCATTTGCTAAAGATGTTTCCATTTTCCCACTGGATTGACTGGTACCCTTTGTCAAAGATCAGTTGGCTATATGTTTTGGGTTTATTTATGGGGTCTCTACTCTGTTCCATGGTCCTCATGTCTGTTTTTGTGCCAGTACCATGCTGTTTTGATTATCGCAGCGTTGCAATATATATTGGGCTCAGGAAGTGAGATGCCACCCATTCAACTCTTGTTGCATAGTATTGCTTTGACAGTATGGAATCTTTTATAATTCCAGACGAACTCTGTGATTGTCTTTTCTAGATCTGTGAAGAATGTCTCTCGTAATTTCATAGGGAGTGCATTAAATATGTAGGCTAATTTGGGTAGGATTTCCATTTGGATTATATAGCTCTTTTGTGGATCCTGGAATGGTTCCTTTCTGACCAGGGCTCATCTTTCAATGAGATGAGCCTTTTGGAACCGCCATTTGCAGAAAATATTTTTGAGAGTAAGGGCTGGGGGCCGTATACAGGTTAATTGGAATTCTCCTTATGATACAGGGCTATGTGAATAACTCTTTTAATCTTTATGCATCCACTCTCATTTGTTACTGGTGGGAAGGTAAACTGGTACAGCCACTTTGAAGACAGATGGTGGTTTCTCACAAAACTAAAGATACACTTATATTACAATCCAGAAATTACATTCCTCTGTATTCGCCCAAATGAGTTGAAAACATGTCCACACAAAATACCTGCACACAATGTTTATATCAACTTTGTTTCTAATTGTCAACACTTGGAAGCAACCAAGATGTCCTTCAGTGGGTGAGTGGATAAACCAAATTGGCATATCATTACAATCCAATTGTTTTATTTATTCAACACTAAAAAGAAGTGAGTTAGCAAGCCATGAAAGAATATGAAGAAATAAATGCATATTACAAGGTGAAAGAAGCCCATCTGAAAAGGTTACATACTGTATAATTTCAACACTATGATGTTCTTGAAAACACAAAAGTATGCTCACAGGAAAAAAAAGTTAGTGACTTCCAAGGTTGATGGGAAGTAGGGATGAATAGGCAGAGTATAAAGCATTTTAGCGCAGTAAAGTTATTCTGTTTGATACTGTAATAGGGAATACATGTCATTATAAATTTTTGAGTACCAACAGACTATGTA